GGTAGCCTATAGGCTCGTACGCTTCGCTAAACCTTTTCAGGATATCGGAAACGTCGGTTTTCAACGCGGTATGCGGAGATAACGAATGGAAATATATTAGTGCGCTTTGCATGTGGGACACCAAGTTTTTCGGGTTGAATATCTGCCTGAACTTATGCAGACAATCCCGGTCATCGGAAGAGTTCATCTGTAGACATGCTTTGCTCAGTCTGAATAAATATTCTTGATATGTCAGGAAAACAATAGTGTACTGGCAACTCAAGAAATGGTGGGCTTGTCGGATTTTATCATCTACGTTATCGACTGTTACCACAGTCCGTCCCTCGGTGTCGGTCTCTAGCAAATTGTTCATATAATAGTGTGTACTGTCGTCGACGATTTCCAGTGGATGCAAACCGCGCCATCTCGGAAAATTCAGGAGTTTTGACATCTGGTGAACAGGGTCTGCCGCGATCCAATCCAATAACATACTTTTGGATAACACAATAAACGTCAAACAGTTTAAAAACCGTCGAGCTAGCATTTTTGTTTTTTGCAAAAATTTCAATCACGAGTAACCACGAGTTTTAAACGAATCACTGAGAACCCAACTACCAGGGAAGTTTACTAGGTATAACAAGTTGTACGTGTCAGACTAATACTACACCTGTACGGGTATTATCACGAACGTATGTAGTGATGTCACGTCTACAGTCAAAGAGAATACAAACGATTTTTAATAATCGAAAAAACATATACGGTATAGAATGTCAATAGCCCTTTTTTCTGATTTAATATTTTCAACGTTTTTTGCGACGTCTAGCCCATGTCAAGCAATTTAAAATTGTATTTTTTAGCTTTGATACGATAGCATAGAATGTATTGGTTTTATAATAATGGGTTCTTTTTTGTGTCTGAAATGACAATAATTTTTTTTTCCTGAAGATCGATTTACTCGAGTAGCACTTCTATACAAGGTGCTCATTTTATCGTAAACCTTTTCAATATCTTATAGGGTTTATTAAGAAATTATATTTTTTTTATATAATGATCTCCCTACTTGGTGTTTTTTTTGACAGCAACTTTTAAAACTTAAATGTTAACGCATACGCTTCATTAACTTTTTAAATTAAGAATAATGTACTAAAAATGTTGACTGGTTGATAACGATTTTGAACAACTATTTTCAAAGTTATATAAGTTTAAAAGTTACCATGAGAGGGTGCGTGCATCAAAAAATAATATTACACACCCTATCCCCCTACCCTAAACTTGAAGCTTCAATAACATCAAAACTAGTAATCCAAAAATGGTTATCGGCCAGTCAACATTCTTAGAGCATTATTCTCAATTTATAAAGTTAATGAAATGTATGCATTATTATTTAAGTTTCAAAAGTCGCTATAAAAAAAACTAAATTTGTACTATGGTGTAAAAGTCAACGTCTTGATCCTCAAAAACGGAAAAACCAGAAATAAGTTGACCATTTTTTTTGATCGTCGACTTTGATTTGCTATATCTTTTCAAGAAACAGTCAGATCAATTCGACATTTTTATTTTAATATAATTATATTAACTAATACATTGATTGTATCTCTGATTATATCATGCCTTTCCGAAAACATTTTATCATTTTTCAAACAAATTTTATCGTGTCAGAATTATCAACGGCTTAACAGTTTTGAGAATGAACAATATCAATTATTATGGAAATGTGTTTTCAATTGGACTCAAGACCTTACAATTATATAACAAGGTGTAATTTATAAATATAAAGCAGTAATTTATAATATGACATTATTCATGTAAACGTGTAATTTCAATCTATATAATATATTTAAAAATAAATGTCTGTCAGTTTGTCCTTTATGCATAACTATACCATTCTTCCGATCGCCATGAAACCATGGATGGCTTCAAACACAAACTTTGTACTTTAAATACGAAACACACTTGGTTTGTAACCATGGTAACCACGGTACTCGAACGAATGGTAAGCGATGATGAAAGAAAGAGGCCAATTCTATGTACCACTATTCTGGGCAAGCTTTTAACTGTTGGAACGGGATCTGGGCCTGAGACTGGGACTCTTGAGTAAGAGAAGGACATAATAACCGAAAAAAGTGTCACGAAAATAGATAATCTAATAAGAGATTAGAGATAAGGGATGGGGGTAGGGACAGGGGAATGGGAATCTCGGGCAACGCCGGGTCAGGACAGTTTATATACAATAAGAATAACTGATGAAAATTAAAAATAGTAGAACCCTTGAAAAATTGTTTTGAGTTGTCCCTATTTAACACTCTGATAGATAACTGATATAAAAAACACAACTCATAAGCAAAGATAAATAGTTCTAATCGTAATATTACCAATAGTTAGATATAACTGATAAGATATAAAGATACCTTAATTAACAGTTACTAAGCATTATTGTTACTATTGAAACAGAAGGGAAACTGCCGGAAAACTGTTCTTTCGCAGATTTTCTTTATTTTAATATTAACACCTTAAATCTTAAACAATTTTTATCAAATCGTTACAACATTTTTATGGACATCTATTTAGAATGGTACTATTAGGTTTTGATACTCGAGTACCAGTTTTAGGTTTTAATTAAATTTTTTTTTTTACTTAAGTGTTTTTGGCTAAATGCGTTGTAAAATAAAATAAATCTTCTGTTTTTTAGATCGTGCCATAATTTAAAATTTATTTTTGGTCAGTATTTCCTATTATGCCATTTTAACATAAATTTAGTTTTTATTGTTATATTTGTGAATAGTAGTTTTTCCTTAAATTAATTTTGTGTTGTTTTGTTTTTTTTTATATAAAATCCCTAGTACAGTCCTTAACATTTTCATAATAATACGCATAAAACACGGAAGGTATAAGTTTAATTTACACTTGACTAATTTTGTTATTTAAATGTGTATTGTTTTCACCAAAAAATAAAAATATATATTTAGTTCTTGTTTGACTCGTTCTATTTTTCTATTTTTCAAATTTCGTGCGCTAATATAGGACTGTTTGAAGAAGCGAAGGCACGTCTTACTAGTTTGCAATGTCGAGTAGACCGAGTACACGAAGCGGGATTAGGAGTCGACAAAAAAACCCGCCAATAACAAAGGTTTGAAACTTTCTACCAGCTTAGCTGATTTCTACCTTTCGGTTAATACATTTCTTCTATAAAAATAAAGCAGATTTCCATACTTACCAGCTAAAAAAAGAGAGAGCGCTCGTGATTTGTAAAAATTATAACTCATAATACGTAGACACATTACTAAATTGTTCACATGCAGATTCCATCTTAGATTCTTGTATAGAAATGATAACTTTATCTTCTCTATCATTAATCATAAAATTCAAAAACATAGTTTTATTATAATTTATCGATAGTTTTCTATGGTTTAGAAAATCTACTACACTTTAAAAACCTTTAGTAGCTTTAACACTTACATCAACCCATGAATTTCCTGATAAACGTAAGCACGTATCATCAGCATAAGTAGTAATAAGTCCTTCAATTTTTAAACTACAGACACTATTTATGTACAAGATAAATAGAATGGTACCCAGTCCACTACCTTGTGGTACTTCACAGATTATTACCATTTCATTACCGATAAAGCTATTTATTCGCACTATTTGCCTTGTGCCTTTCAAATAACTCTTAAGCCAATCTAAACTTGATGAAATAATACCAACTTCAGGCAAAATATTTAAAAGTGCTAAATGATTTACTGTGTCGAACGTTTTAGCTAAATCTCAAAATATTGCCATTACTTTCATCATCAAGTGCAGAATTAATAAAATGTGTGGCATTATTTAAAGCATTTTACCAATCAACTCAATATTTCCAACAATGATAAAATATAGTAACACTAATAATCATCACCCAATAAAAATCCTTCTTTGGAACTCTTATGGTCTTATAAATAAAAAAAAACGAATTAAAAGCTTTACTTACATATACGCTTATAAATATCCTATTAAGCGAAACCCTCTATACATCAATATCCTTCTTTAAAATTCCTGGTTATATAACTTACCACTGTGACTATCCTGATGGAACGAATCACGTGGGCTTTGCGATACAAATAAAATCAAATATTAAACACTTAACTCTTTGTGCTGCACACGTTAAATATACGAGCTGTCATATTTAAGTATACAATTTTGTGCTTTGGTTATTAGGGAATGCGTTTGACCTAACCTACAAAATACAAACCACAAGTATAACCTTTATTTTAAATAACATTGCCTAAATTACAATTTCAGTTGTAATAATTCCTGTAACCCTGTGATCTTCCCGTCTCCACTATGTCCCGAACCCACTCTACTGGTTTTTTTTAATTTTAGCTTTTACTAAAAAATGGTACGAGTAGTCAGTTACTCCCGTGTGATTTATTTTATATTTTCTATACTTTCTTCTTTTAGAGAATATCAGAGCATGGTAAATTTGATTTTTTACTGCTCCATCGGGGACACCTGGGATTCTTTATATATATATTTGGAAAGCATGTGCTACCGATTAATATGCTTGCTGCCAAAGCAAAAATCGCCTCCAAATCTCCTAGAACTATTTAAAATTATTTATTGTACGTGTATTGTAGAATCTTTCTAGATCTTTATAAAATTAAATTTTTGTATCTTCATCATTATCTTCATTACCGTTGGGCCATAAAAAAAATTATATATTAAGTATTACCTTGAGGCTTAAACCATCCATATTGTATTTCCAAATAAAACATTCCACCACTGATAGCTTCTCCACTGATGGAGAAAAATAAAAAGTTAACTTTTATGATTTTTAAAGGCATTATCACCAGTTTTCCCATATAATACTGATATTTGATCACTTTTTATACGACTTTAATGAGGTTTTACACAAACTATAGGAATACTTACGCTAATATAATAAAATAATCTCAATATGCAAAAAATGATTAAATTACAATTTAAGTACAATACATTAGCAACAAATATTTTTATAATCGTGTTTAAAACTGTTTATTGTTCAACACATTCAATTTAATAAGAATTTGGATATTATAGTGGCGTGAAAATGTTTTATAACAAAACAATAATAGTACTATAAAATAAGTTATTATTGTAATTCGTGATCATGTAACTCATGAGAAAAAGGCCGAATTGGAGCATGATTTTCTGGATTTGGTTCAACTTCCGAAATTTCACCATCAATGAATGTATATACTTTGGTATTCCTGAATGCATTTATTATATAACAATATCTACCAAAAATGTTAAAAGAAGCGGCTCCTTCATATAAACGTGGGTATTTAATACTTCTGAACAATGCTATTAAACGACACATCTCGTACAGATCCGAGAATAATGGGTCTTTTTGACCTAAAAATAAATTACCAACTTTAACTAATTTCTTACAGATTGTCTTTATTTACAAGACATACATTCACTCAATAATACACGTGTATAATAAATCGTAAAAAAATAAAATAAAAATTAATAAATGTTTTGTGTATTACTATGATAAGAATGAATATCTGTAAATTAATTATTATATCTTAAACATATATGCTATATGTATATTTACCTATTAATAATTTCAAAGCATCCATAGTCATAATTCTTCTTGCACTTCTCAATTCAGTTAGAAAATGAGGTCTTATATTGTCTTAAAACAAATAAAAAATAAATTAGTTGTTTCAAATTGAATCACATTACATTCAAACAAACAGTAATATTGCCAATTTATGTACAGCTTGAAATTAAAAACTAAAAGGTACTATATTGAATAAAAAATTAATATATAATCTCATGGTAACATAATCTGTACTACAAAAGTAATTAATAATAAAAAAAAAAATGTATAATAATTTCTTTTCCCTTTATGATTGTAAATTATTTGAATTAATGATTGAAAGAAATATCATAAAAAGAAAATAATAGGAATATACGTTTTAAATGGAAATTATTTGTATTCCTGATATATTATTGTTATGAATTAATCTACCTATTAAACTGTGTTTGGCGGTTGTCATAATTAGTATTTTTAAAAATGTATGCTACTGTTATACAAAGGTTCTAAGAATAAGAAAATATATTCTAAAACATGTACCTAAAATCATTAGGAAAAAATAATTTTTAAATATTCATATTGTCCGAGAAAATGAGTGTGCTACTTCAGATGGATTACCTTGTATATATGTGTATATTATATATTAATATCAAATATCTCATACGATGCTATGCAGTTAATCACATATCTACACACAATTATTATATGTAACACAATTTATTACTACAAAATACTTAAATCCAAAATTAACAGTTACCTGATGCACGGATGATTCTGCTTCTTAAAGATGTTGTAGTAGTAGTTATTCTGTCTTTTAAAAGTTTAGCCAAATTTTCTACGAAAAACATAAATTACCGTGTTTATAATAGGTGATGAACTTAAAAAAACAATTTATTGCTCGTTATTGCATCGCAATACATTTTAAATAACTTTAATTTTACCAATTTATGTACAACCTGCCATTAGTACCTAAAAGTTTCTCCAATAAGCCTACTACTTTTGCACTTTTTTGGAACGTAGCTATGAGACTATACGGTTTGAATAAACCCTTATTCAACATTTTAAGCAGTGAACTCAGTGTCTTAATTCGTAATAACTCTTCGTAAAAAAATTATAGCAGGAAATATAGACTAACCAAATTGTCTATGCAATAATAAGCAATCTACCAATCAAAACCTACGACGAATTTATACGTGATTATGATTACCTTCTTTTACCTGAGGTGCGTCGATACCTGAAACCAACATTTAAAATATTAAACAATATTACGGTCATAAGGAATATTTTTTAAAATTTTATCAATCACAATTATCCTAAAATTGAGAATAATTCATTAATTTAATCAATGTAAAATAATGTAAAAATTTCTAGTAGCCTCATCTGGGTTAAAAATGCAGTCCATGTTTCACGATTACTAAATCTTTAAACAAAAAACCAATAGGATAATAACTAATTTTTAATTTAATATTTATCATTAAATATAATCATTTTAATTTAGAATTTGATTACGATAACGAAATCATTTATCGTGCAAAAAGTTAAACTAGGTATTTACCTGTTGCAGCACTTATTTCCGATTGCAACAATTTTTCGTAATCTATCATGTCTAATATACAAAGCAAATTCAGTTTTAGTGCGCATCTTTTTTTACGATAGGAATCAATATTTCAGTATACGACTTTATTACCATGAGGCTTTAGGCAAGGGTTATCTTTTTCTGAAATTAAATAAAAACTTTTGTATTTCATGCATACCAAAAAACCGTGTTGGAAAATTTTCATAAAATGTCAAGACAATTATTACCCGGTGTCGCCAACATAAAAACCGTTTCTCCTGAATTCAACATAACTTAAATGTATTATATCATGACATTATATTTAATGTGTTATTGTTATGTAAAACCAGTGTGTGAGTCAAGGGATCCCCAGTAAATCCGAAGTCTAAATATCATGCATTTACTCCCATCGCCATCACGGAGAATATAATTCGCAACAGGGTGTGCCATAAAGAACTTCGTTCTAACAAGAAGAAATATGGCGTGTAGAATAAATTATGATGATTAGATGACATTAAAACAAGTAACATCAGGGTGGTTTGTCTGTGATATTCCATTATGATTTTAGAGTAAAATTTAAAACATACGATTTTACGATAATTTATATAATTTTTATCTCCGATATATATTTTTCATCATAATATTATGTTAATTTATTATATAATTTTGATTACCAATTGAATATTTATTAAGAATATTTTTAATTATTTGCGGCATGCTATCTAGAAAAAATAAAAATTGTTTCAGCTAAACAAAAATATAGAACGAATAATACTTGTGGTTATAAAAGAGTTAGTTAATTTATAATTTTCAAAAAAACTTAACTATAAAAAATAATACACCCTTTTAACCGACCTGTACAGAGTAACCAACTTATCGTGAACCACTAAATATCTCACTGGGCTTAATAAGAAATTAAATTTGTTTATACGTAGTGTTTTTATGAAATGTGATCTCTATTTCTCGCCATTTTTTTTTTTTTACTTAAATTGTAACGCATACATTTCATTAAAAGTTTTGACTGGTCGATCACCACTTTTGGATAACTATTTTTGAAGTTATTGAAATTTAAAGTGAGAAATTCAGATTACATTATATAAAATCGCAATGAAAAAAAAAAACTTCTGACCGGAAGATGAGCTAGGAAGATATGATCTATGGTGTATTGGGGTTAAACGTTGGCTGCATAGAAATTCCACTGACTCTCGAAAAATAGTAAAAAATTGAGATCACATTTCATCAAAACATTATGTATAGAAAACATTTAATTTCATATTAAACCCAGTGAGATATTAAGTGGTTCACGATAAGTTTATCACCCTGTATAATATTTTTAACACATTCAATACAATAAAATCTGTAAACTTCCGATAATTCTATTTTCCCCGTTTCATTTGAATGGTGCTAAGTGATAGTGATTTGAAAGTGATAGTGTAATAAATAAACAAATATTTATCATCATTTAATGTTTCAGAATAACCAATATTCATGTATTCAAAAAAGTATTGAAATAAAGAATTTATTTCCATCCGTAATCGCTGTCAGTCTGTTTTGAGCGGTGCTGATAACGTTTATTTATGGATTTTCTAAGAATTTAATTACTTTATTTCATCACATGAAACATATTTAAAATATAAGTTTGGTAAAGACAAACGTTTTCATATTATAAAAATACCGCATGGTTTAAGTGGTCACAATTTTATTTAATTTTACTCATCTTATTGGGTAAATGATCACTGTCTGTAGCCAAGTAAAGTTTAATTAAATTAGAGATACACCTTCATTTAAAAATTGTTTGATTTATACAAATTAAATATCTACACAGTGTTTTTAACATTGGTATTTTCATCTTATTCATTCTTAACCTGAACAGATATTATAAAACTAAAATTAAAAATTAAAAACCACTTGACCAGTCAGCCAAACATACCAAAAAAAACTAAATAAGTATTTAATATTTTAAACAAATTTTACTTTTCGCGAGCTTGATGTGATTGTCTGTAATAAATAATATACAAATTTTAAAACTTAAATTATTTTTTTTGTATGAAAAAAGTTTCTACTGACTTGTTATGAGAAACTGCTTTACATAGTCATCTGTAAAAAAAGTTAAATATTGATTTTTTTAATACATTTCTACTAAATCGTGTAGGTAGGTGTAACAATTAAAATTTAATCACCTAATTTAGCGACCAATACATTTACCAAGGCAAATGATATTAAAATACATATAAGTTTCATTTTTTATCTGAAAAAATAATTTTAAAAAAACATATATTTTATGGAGTTTTTCAATATGTACCCATATATTATGCAGTACATACCGAAAATATGTTTGCATAAGTATCAAAACAATTCTAATATATTTATAAAGTTAAAAAACGTAGTTTTTTTTTGGACAAAAATTATATTTTAAATTTTAGGGTGTTTCCCTTGATTATAATTTAGAAAAACTAGCTTTTTTTTACTACTGTCTCTATGAAATAACATACAAAGTAATTACGATATCTGTACAATTCCTGTAATAGGTGTATATTTGCGAATGAATATAAATGATTGAGTGGATAAAACATTGATATTAAATTCGTAACCACCGAACCCAAAAACATAAAATTTGACCACCTTTGATGTCTATTACACAAAAATCCAGAAAAATGTTTTAGCTTCGATGCAAAATGAGAAGGTATTGGTTTTACTCTGATGTGGGCTTTTTTTTTTATCTGTATACACTGTAACTTTTTTAATACTGGACCAATTCCTTCGAGTAGCAACTCTGTAAATCTCAAATTTTATCTAGTTTGTACTTTGGGGGGGTAAAAGTTGAAAAAGTTTAATTCTTCACAGACGGAATTTGAAAAAACAAAAAAAAAACCGTACGAGTTTTTAAGTTAGAACTTTTACTGGCTATAATTTCGAGAAAAAGAATCGGATCGAGTTGAAATTTATTAGATATATTTATTTGGTATGCCCGCGCACGTCAGTTCTGCCAAATTTAAACTATACCCATTTCTCGCCCCCCTAGGGGGGGTACAAGTTTTTTTGTTTTTCGGGGTTTTTATCCGTAATTTTAAAACTTTTGGGTTGAAAATTTGCCAGTAGTTGGAACTCATATGTATCCATAACATATTAAGCGGGTGAAAAATTCGGCACTACAGTTTTTTTTTAATTGCCGGAAAACCATGTTTTCGCAGATTGCGTATATTTTAACAAAAACACCGAAAATCTTAAAAAAAAATTGATCAAATCATTAAATAAATTTTATGTATATCTATGCAGAATGATACTTTTAAGTTTTGTGCTCAAGTATCACTTTTGACTTTTTTTTAACTTCAAACACGGTGTACCAGATGTGAGCAACGAACAGACGCTAAAAACTGTCAGTTGGTAACGTCTACCCGTGTTAGATAAGGTTAGGACCCAACGGTTGGTATCATAATATTGTGTTTATCACATGATATCACAGACGACTAAATCATGTAACTGATTATAGTAGATACACGATTTATTGGGAAAAAAACCTATCCGTGTACTTATTAAGACACTTAATGATTCTGACACGTCAAAACCACTGTCGTTATCTTGTTATTTTATCGCCCGCGTTATATTACCGTACCGAAGGTCAACTATGAGTATATGAGTTCCAACTACCTGCAAATTATGAAGAGGACTGTTGTTTTTTGTATTCAGATTAAGTGTTGGTTTTTATGCAGTATACCGCCCCAAAATGTATTTTATATTAAACAATTTTTTTAAAGGAACACTAATGTTTTGCATATTGTTATACTGTTATTCATTTAAAGAGATTCACGCTTGATTGTTTAAATTACCTAATATTAGGTAATCTGCTTCGTGCTAATTTTAATTTTTTAGTTTACAACTTGTAGCTCTAATTTTGTATAAAATATTTCATTATTTTATTACTATGTTCAAATTAAGATATATTTTAATAATAATTAAGGCATGAATGATAATGCTTTATTTTATGACTAGATCAAATCTCGTGAACATTTAACATTATGATACTGCTCCTATACTATTATTAAAAAAAACACAATTTTTAAAATCTCTATAAAAGGTTATTGTTAAATAACAGGCCACAGGCGACCGCTAGTGGCTGTAAACGTTAGTAATATTTAACTAATAAGTAATATAATATGTAGATAAAATGTATTGTTGAACTGTGACCTCTCCATTTCCTCATTGCTTTGATTCCATTATGCCTACACTCTACTGTACTAGTCCTCTTGGATAAAATCACTTTTAAATTAACGCTTTGATGCTCATTTGTAAATACAGAACCTTAATTTAAGACTTTCTAACTTTGCTGGTTTATACTGTGCTTGGTTTGGACTGTACTGGTTTGAAAATACTAACTACCGATTTGCATCGAAGCGTTTTTTCGAAAAAGATTTTATCACTTTCAGATTTAAAAATTCCTGTAAACCTGTGACCTCCCCGTCCCCACTATGCCCCGGCACCACTGTACTGGTTTTTTAATATGTACCCATATATTATACCGAATAGTTGTTTCCACAAGTATCAAAACAATTATAATATCTTTATAAACGTTAAAAAATATCGTTTTTTTTTTTGGACAAAATTATGTTTTGAATTTTAGGGTGTTTCCCTTGATAATGATTTAGAAAAACTAGCTTTTTTTTACTATTGTCTCTTTGAAATAACATACAAAGTAATTACGATATCTGTACAATTTCTGTAATAGGTATAAATTTGCGATTGAATAAAAATGATTGAGTGGTTAAAACATTGTCTCGAATAGATACAAGTGAAATAATTAGTAAGACTTTTAGAAAAAATGTACTTACAAGGTCAGAATGTGCCCAATATAGTCGACAGGTATATAATAAGTAATACACTTAAATACTAACACTCAAAAGCAAAATAACAGTTGATATTTTTGTTAAACTATTATAAAGAGATTGTCTCGTGTTATGTTGAAGGGCTTTAAGTCGACCGAAACGGTGAATAAACTTTGCAGAAGGCCAATGTTATTTTATTTGTATAGCTGTTTTATTTTAAATAGAATTACATGTTAACATTACACTGACTCAAATTCATATAATTTTCTTTGCAACCTCTACATCAAATATAATTTTTTTTTTAATAAAAAAAAAAATCATTTCTAGTATTAAAATTTGAATGTAGATTTATGTACCTGGTCTTGTTCAGTTATACAATAATGTCGTCGAACAATTTCCGAATTTGTATGGCGTTTATTTGTTTTCGGGTTTTTAAGTCTGATTACTAGACAAAAGGGATTTTTTAGTGTGAAACTATACCGTAAGACATTTTCTTAAAAAACGTCTTTTAAAAACACTAAAAAAGTATTCACAACAGGATTAATTGTATACAATTTTAATTAGTTACGTGTTATTTACCTATGTGAAATTTGATAATAATTAAATTGCTTTCAATTATACTCAGCGATAAAATTATGGTAACGACGCTTTTTCGGAAATAATAATGTAAGGGGTGATTCATGAAGACACCCCTTTTTCGAAAGTATTAATATTTTAAACGTAATTTTTGTTCCATACACTTCGGTAAATGTTGTAAAATATTTTACAGTAATTTGAAACATTTTATACGTAAAAATGTATTTACAGATTTTCTAAAGAGGAAACCCATATTTTTGAACCCAATATCAGTGCAAATACGTAAAACACTATAACACATTTGATAGGGTTTGAGTTTTTAATTTTCATCAATCTATTAATTTGCTATGTATTTGTATAGATACTGCATTTCCTTTTGTATTTCAAGTTTCTTTCACATTTCTTCGGTTTTCCAAAACCCAGGAGCCCATAAAATTCATATTTATGTAAGCATTGTCCGATAATACCATTAACCACGCACAATAAAATGTTATAAAATTATGATAAAAAGCGGTTCTTACCACAAGTTAGAGACATACCTATTCATTTTTTTTATATTATGTGTTACGATACTTTGATATTTATTTATATTATTTACGGGTTGAGCCCTATGATTACAATAGGTATATACAGTAATTAATTATAGTAAAAATATTATAGGTAGAACAAATAACAAAAAGTAAGAAAAAATGAACATAAATATTAATAAAAAAAAGTGGGGTGCGCGTTGGCGATGGACATTAATCGTCTAATTGGTTCGTTTTTCATAGAATTGCTCTTAAATTTGTAGAAAATGGAAGGGTAAAAAAGAACGGGATGAGTATTGCGGTACTTTAAAGTTAATAAAAGACAGGATATCAGGAGGGTCTTTATTGTTAGATAGCAGATCATTTAAAAATGTTTTACCTAACATCCTTCTACGATCGCTATATAGATATATAAGTATATCTATATTTAACTATATATAACAATATATACAGGGTGGCCCACGAAGATTTGACAAATGAAATAACTTTTGTGCTAGCAAATATTTTTAAGACTTTTTTTTTTAAAAATAATTTATACACATTTACGCTAAAAAAAACACTGTTTTATTGCACTTAGCTGTTTTACTTTTTAAATAATTTTTTTTTTTTTACGTTTTTGTTTTTATTTTTAAGATAGCCATTTTATTTAGAATAGTTAAAAAAAAAATTAGCGAACAAAAATTGTATTTTTATTCATACATGAAAAAGTTATACTCATTTGAAATTGATGAAAATTTGAAAATTTCTCTCCGCGTTTATTGTGTCGGCCATTTAAACGTGTTATTAAATCACAATTTTTCATCTTTACATTTTACCAAAGTTTCCTTACCTGATTAAACGGATACCTACAATGTAAAAATGATTGATATTGGCCTAACCATGCTCGTGTTTTGCAAGGAGTTTAAAAACTTTAAATACAGAATAGATAACATTGTTTGAATTCTGACAGTGATAAACAATTTTATATGGTAATCAGTACATTAACGGATAAGCCGGTGAGCGTATTTCCCGTAAATTTTATGCTGTTAATAAAACATTGTCTACTAAATATTTAGTAATTAAGTTTTACTATTCGGTCAACACAGTCAGCTATCATTAACATTTATTCATTTAATAAAATGTCATTTAAAGCTATTATAAAGTCTAAATGGTCCTTGTCGATAGTCAGTCTAATCAAACAACTCTATAGTATCATAAAACAGCACCGGATTATATGCTGTCACTCTTTGAATACAAAATATTGAAATCTGGTTCTAACCCAAGGCAGCATTAAAATTACATAGTACGTACGACTATTATTTATTATTAGCTGTGTTAGTTAAACAGCAATTTGTATTTAGTACGTTCTGTCGTTTTACAGAAACTTTGTTATAGCTGTGTATTTACTTTTTTATTTCAGATTTTCATAAATTGTAAATCTAATTTTTTTCATGGGTTATAGTCGAGCAGTTGTGCTCTCACACTTTCAATTAATTTTTTAAATGATCATCATCATGCAGCTTAACAGTTCACGACTACCCAACATTGCCATCATGAGATGGTTACTAGATGGATTCGCTATCCATAACAGGTTGTCAGACCATCGCCAGAGAGAAGTATGTCGGCTTCTTTTTACTAGACAATTGGGCCACTTTGTATACAGGTATATAGTTTAAAAAACTGAAACTACCCAGTTACTATGGTCTAAAGTGATCAGTGACAAAAACTCCCCCATTATTATGGACATATTACCTACGGACGGTCATATTTGAAGTTTTGACTTTTTTAATTTTTGAAAAAATATTTTATTGGTTTATTTGCTTAATGTTGGATGCGTGTTTCGAATTTGCTGTCGAACCGTTGACAGTGAGCCCAGCACACTGCTGCCTTACCCCCTCTGCTACTCCTCCTCCGTAGGAATATATTTTGGTCGATTTATACAAAAAGTATAATAATAATTATAGCCTCTCTCGCGTGTGTAGTGCTTTTAGGATAGTCTGCACGACGAAGATTACAACCAGGAAAAATGTATAGGAATAGTAGAGTCAGTTTCAGATATGTCTGATCTCGTTATGATTTTAAAGAGCACATTTATATAGTTTTCCCTTTAAGTACCGTCGTTTTATCATTTTTTTCAGCGTTAATGTGGTTCCAGGCAAAATATGGAATTATTTATGACACTATAAAAACATATAATCCTAATATTGGAAAACATTATTAAATAACAATTTAATTACAATACACAAGTAACAAATATTTTTATAATCGTGATTTAAACTGTTTATTATGAAATAAATAAAATTTACTGACAATTTGGTTATTAGTGCGGTATGACGAAATTATTTTTACAAAACAATAACATTACTATAAAATAAGCTGTTATCATTGTAATTCCTGGTCTTGTAACTCGCGAAAAAAAGGCCGAATTGGAGCTCGATTTCTTGGATTTGGTTCTACTTCCCAAATTTCACCATTAATGAATGTATACACGTTAGCATTCATGTTTATATCTAATATGAAACAATGTCCATCTCTCATAGTGTAAACAGTGACTAAATTTAAACGAGGGTATTTAATGCTTCTGAACAATCCTATTAAACTACACATCCTGAACAAATTCAAGAACAGTGGATCGTTTTGACCTTAAACATAAATAGTCAAATTTAGCTCATTTCTTACTAATTTTAATTTTTGCAAGACAAAACTTCACACAAAAATACACGTGTACAATTGTTGAAGAATAAAACAATACAAAAAAAAAAATCGAATTTGTGTATTACTGTGATAAAAATGAATGTCTGTAAATGAATTATTATTGCTTTATCATAATATATACTATGTGTATATTTACGTATTAATGATTTTATAGCTTCTAGAGTCATAACTCTCCTTGCACTTCCCAATTCAGATAGAAATTCAGCTCTTATATTATCTTAATAACAAATAAAAAATTCATTAATTTTCGCAATAAAAATGCTTTACATATTTTAAGGGAACTTTTTTTTTCCTTCTAACAACGCCCACCTGGGAGAGGACTGTTTACTGCACTACTTCCTCACATTTTAGTAACTGTAATATTTCCTATTTTTATACAACTCACCGTTCATATTAAATGGTATTAACGTTAAGTTTAAAATATAAACTCGCTCTCTCGCGTTATATTTGGAAAGCACACATAAAATGGAATAATAGAAGTATAATTTGTCAAAAATTCAATCTTTTTGTATTCCTCATATATTATTGTTTTGAAATAATTTAATCCCGCACATTCCATAATTAAATACAAATAATTACAGTCATTGAGTTACCAAGTTCATGTTACGCATTGTGAATAAGAATTGGGTAGTACAAAATTCATATACGTATGTGGTTAAGTTACAACTAGGTAAAAAAAAGATTATAATTTTGTTTGTAATCTTATGGACAACAATTAGACCAGTTTATTAAATAAAAATCAAATGAGCAATAGCCAATAAGTTTTAACTTTATGTGTGTCGTCCTGTTATGTACAGAATACAGATTTCCAAATTACAAGAATATTATATTGATAATGTGATAAACTATAACCATGATTCATACCGCAAAAAAGGGGTTTAGGCAACGTACAGACTATTTGTAGGATATGCGATCGAATGACGGTTGTGCAAGGTGTCTTTGACCTTTGTTTTCGAGCAAGTAGATAAAGAATCGATTGTTTATACAATATGTGTCTGATTATTATTGACAGTATTATCGATGGGTACCATCGATGTGATTTTTTAATGGAAAATAGAAGTGCCAACTGTCGCGAAAACCGATAAAATATTGATTTAAAATTCAAATCTTTACTAAGTCACGGCAAACGAACAAATTGATGAAAATAAAAAATTCAAACGGAAACATTTTCTAGAAAATGTTGTCTACATGTTTATGGAGTTAAAAACATACATCTCCACTTAAAAACCAACGGCGGTACTTGTTTTACGCATAAGGGTTAAAGATAAACAGTTTCTAATTATTGTAAAATGTTTTAAAATTTGTACCTACAAGTATAGGAAAGAAATATTCACGTTTTCCTAGAAAATTAGTGTTTTAAACCAATTTGATCACACTGTATAAAAAATATAAATTATAAATGTTTAACAACCATTACAACTCTATATCGACACTTACCTGATGCACGGATAATTTTATTTCTTAAAGATGTTGTAGTAGTAATTCTTCTGTCTTCTAATAGTTTGGCCAAATTTTCTACAAAAACAATATAAATTACCGTGGTTATAATAGGTAATTAAAATAAAAAGACAATTTATTGCTCATAATTACACCGCAGTATATTTAAAATAATTTCAACTTAAACAATTTTTGTACCTAAAAGACACCAACATTCTCTTTTGGAACTTCCCTTAATTGAAATTAGTTTTGAGACTCAAAGTCAGAGTTAATGTAATAAACTCTTTTTCAACCTTATAAACAATATACTCAGTTTTTTAATTAATTTCCCTAGAAAAACTAACCAACGGGCTACATGGTAGTTAACAATTATTAACTAATCAAAACTTGCGAAAAATTCATGTATGTATATGATTACCTCCTTTTATCTCAGGTGCATCGATACCTGAAACCAACATATAAAATATTTAAAAAATATATTTTAAAATTGTATTCATCGCAGATATCCTATAATTCTGAATACTACGGTACAAATAAATTAATAAATAATAATATAAGAACTTTTAGTAGCCTCATTTGAATTAAAAATTTGGAATATACTTTAACGATTATTCAACCTTCAAACTAAAAACGTAAAGTATTATAATTGAATTTTAATTGAACATTTATCATTTTTATTGAAAGCTATATATTGAGAAGACGCTACCTACCCGTGATTTATCCATGAAAAATGGTTTTGCGGGGTCAAAAATGTGAGGGTGGTATTTAGAGTAGCCGTATATAATTTTTACAGTGGATCGAGAAGATCTTTGTCTACGGGGTAGCGTTTTTAGTTTTTCGATAACTTAAGCACAATTGAAAATATTCATTCGTAAATATTCATTATTTTTTCCTTTTTTAATTTGTTTATAAAAAAACATAAACAATAGATATCGAAAAACACTAAAACGCTACCCCATGGACAATGTTCTTCTCTATACATTGTGAAAATTTCGTAAATTTACTGTTAATACTGGCCTCACATACTTGTCCCGCGCAAAACAGTTTTGATGGGAAAAAATTGTAATTTATCCTATAGAAATTACTGTGATTGTCTAACAAAAAAAATGGCTATCATCGAAGTGTATCCTCATTACTGTACTATTAAGTATACATTACAGTTCAAACTATAGTTTAAGATTTTTCGGTTAATTGCCTATACTTTACTTCTTAGAAAGACCTGGGTAGCGTCCTCTTAAAAAAATTTGATAACTGTCCGTATAAAAAGTAAAATTTTGTATTTACCTGTTTCAGCACTTATTTCTGATTGCATCATTTTCTGGTACTCTATCTTTTCTAATATTTAAAATATAATCAATTTTAATGTAAATCATTACTAATGATAGAAATATGGTTATATTTTTACCACGAATCTCTAGGTTTGGGTTATCCCTTTCTGAAATTAAATTACAAACATTTTGTAATTTAAGAATACCCAATACCTATGTTGAAATTGTAATACAATATTGTTAACATTATTACCCGGTGTTGCCAACATATAAGCCATTTTCTCTGAAATTAGCATAACTTAAAAGTATTATTTCATGACATTATATTTAATATATTATCGTGTTTAAAAAAGAAAAATGTTTTTTCTGCGATCACTCCCCTCGTCATTACAAAGAATGTTATTCCCATCAGGGTGCGCCACGAAGAACTTCGTTCTAACAAGAAGACAGAAGTCAAGTATACCACACATAAGGTTTTTAAATTCAGAAAAAAATTGCTTATAGAACTGTCATGATTAAATAAGTGAATATTATGGCAATAAAATCACTGGACTACAGCAAATGTGCCGCGTTGATATATGATGATTAGTTAACGTTAAAACAAGTAACACCAGCGTTATTTGTCAGAAAAATTCTAATTCGATTTTAGAGTAAAATTTAAAATTTAACGATAATTTATATCATTTAAAAATACTTTTGTTTTCTATTATGTTTTTTCATTCTTACACGTTTTCATTTATTTATTATATGATCGACGTCTAAAAAGATGTGGTGTAAAAGTAATTTACTCAAAAATGTAATATTAACGTAATTGTAGTTTAAGTTACTCAATCAGTAGGAGTTCCACCACTGGGCGGTCTCTGCACAAGTTATTTTTTTAAAAGTCATATGTATATAATATTTTAACACAAATGCTTATTGTACATTTTTTATACATTGTATTTTTCTTTAAAATAAAAAAAATGTATTATATAATTTTGTTTACCTATTCTGTTATATACTATAGACTTTTCCAGAATATTTTTAATTATTTTTGGCATGCTATCTAGAATAAAAAAATAATGGGTTGAGCGAAAAATAAAATTCTAGAATGAACTTAAGCAAATTTAATCATTAAGGGGATTACATGCGGTCGGTTTTTTCAGTCAAAACACATCATTTGTATTCCATTGCACAGACCCAACCAATGATCCGATAAGCAATCTAAAAACCGATTTGAATTTGCCATGAAGTTTACTTATGATCGGTCAGGAACCTTTTTTTAGTTCTTATTTTAACCCTTTCCAAATTTGATTTTAAAATTTGAAATTTTATATAATGTTCAAACGTGTTTTATTCATAGTAGAAATAAGATATCAAAAAAGTACCCTGACCGATCATAAGTAAACTTTATAACAAGTTCAAATCTGTTTTCAGATTACTTATTGGATCACTGGTTCAGCCTGTGCGATGGAACAAAAAATGTATGTTATATTAACTAAAATGGTCTTTACTTATAGACAAAATAATTTAAATTAAAAATAATACCATGAAGCTTATACAAATGAACCGGTTAATTAATTGACATGATCAAAATTTATTAAAACCACTTTTTTCCTAAATATTGCCTATACAAAACTCCTTAAAAACCAACCGCATGCAATCCCCTTAATTTAAAAGTTATTTATCTATGTTAAAAAACCTAAACCATAAAAAAATAATATTCCCTCTACAGCATCATCGTACTCGAATTAAGTAGTTAAACTATAATTAAAACACTGGTACTTCTATCTGATTAATTCTTAATATGAACAAATTTAAAAATTTTTAATTTAAAATTATTTGACTGGTAAGCCAAATATATCAAAAACATGATATTTTAGTATTTTAATTTTAAACAAATATTACTTTTTGCACGCTTCATATGAACGTCTAAAATGAATAATACGAATTTTAACACATAAAAAATTTTTTTTGAATGAAAAAAGTTTCTACTGACTTGTTATTAAAACCTGATTAACATAGTCATCTGTAAAAAAAGTTCAATATTGTTTTTTTTTTTTAATGGACTTCTACTACCTTATGTAATTACTTGTAAAAATTAAAAAATTACCTAATTCGGTGGCGAAAACATTTGCCAAAGCAAGTGACATTAAAATACATAAAAGATTCATTTTTGTCTAGAAAAATAATAATATACAATTATTCAATGTACATGAGATTCAGTCAGATATCAGCTTCAATGCGAAGCTGAGAAGATATTGGTTTCTCAATAATTGGTATTCTATAATGTATACAAGTTGATCAGGAATTATTTCGGGATTATTTATAACAACTTGATTTTGATTTAGAAAATATGGAATTGTTTTACTATTGTGTCCTTGAAATAACATGCAAACTAACTACGATATCTCTATAATTTCTGAAGTATAGACTTGTCATTAAATAGAAGCTAGTACATAAAACGTTGTCTCAAGCAGTTAAAAACATACAATAAAAAATAATTAGTAAAACTAAAAAAATGTAAATAAAATGTAAATAAAATGTACTTACAATGTTAGAAGATGGTTAATATGTAAACAATAAGTAATAAACTTAAACTACTTAAATACATCCATAAGAAAAAGTTTGTTTTAAAGTGATTTTCTTGCGTCTTGTAGATGAGTTTTTATGTCGACCAACATAGTAAAATTGAAATATTTTTGCAAAGTGCCTATGTTAATTTATTTATACAGCTGTTTTCATTTTTATTATAATTACATATTTACATTACACTGACGCAAGTTCAGACTATTTATTTAATTATCACTATGATGCATATCATTTTCTTTTTTTAATTAAAAATGTTTTCCGAGTATTACAATGGACTCAGCTTTATATACTTGAAATTCTTTATTTATGTATTCGAATTATTTCAAAATTTCTATCATGTTCTTTGGTTTTAGTTCATTAGCTACAGAAAAAAGATATCTAGTGGGAAACTATAACTGTTTGCGCTTTTGAATTTAACTTCATTAGTATAGTAATCATGGATGTATAAAATTATTAATGTAAGAAATAGAACAAAGAAACCAACACAGTGGGGTTGGGGCATAGTGAGGATAGGTTTCCAGAAATTATTAAAACGGAAAGTGATAAAATCAAACCAGCATAGTAAGAAAAAATAAAAGTGCGGCACAGTGTTTAAAAATTAGCATCAAAACGTTTATTTGAAAGTGATTTTATCACTTTCATTAATATTTTTTTCTGTAGACCTGTAACCTACCGTCCACTCTATGCTTTGATTCCATTATGCCTTGATCCTACTGTACTGGTCCTCTGGGATAAAATCACTTTCAAATAACGTATTGCAATTAAAGAAAAACTGTAGTTCCAAAATATTTCTTTGTTTAATATGTTGTAGATATATATGAGTTTTAACTCCTAACTAATTTTCGACTTTAAGGTACAAAAAAAAAACTTGCAACCAATGGGAGTATTCTACGCAACCACAATCCTGACCAATCAATGGCGTGCCTGCATTAGCGCGAGACTATATAAGGCAGTCGACACGAGATCAGGAGTTAGTCACTTGGAGAGAACCATACAGTTAAAGTCCTTTCTCAACCAAGTCAAGATCCATATATAGTGTCCCTTCGGTTTCCACTTCAGTGTTACAATAGTAATTTTTGCTATATAATTTCGTATTTAAAGTACAAAGTTCGTGTTTGAGGCCATCCATAGGGGTGGATTTTTCAAAAAGTACTATGCCAGTTAGGTTTTTTGGGAGTGTACTCAACAACTTTTCGAAGTTTCATGGCGATCGGATGAATGGTGTACTAATGCATAAAGGACAAACAAACAAACAGAAATTCATTTCTATATATATATATATATATAGAAGATAACACTAGTTTAGAAACCTTCACAAAAGATACTTTTAAAGATCATAAACCTAAAAAAATGTTTTACTTACGCATTCTACACCAAGAAAAAACAACTAAAAATGTACATATTTTTCACCACATAGTTACGGTATGATTTATTTTTTGCATAAAATGGTCGGATTAGTTTCAAATTTGTGTGGCTATTTATTTAAATAAAGAACTATAAATTGATATACATCTAAAAAAAAAAATAACTTGCCAATAGTTTGATTTGAAACAGTGTCTTTTTTTTTTTTTAAATATTTATTTTTTAACAGAATGACTTGAAAAATACGGAGGTGCCATTTGGAATCAAAAGTTGATAGTGCGTACGCACAATGCACAAAAGGATAAACTTTTAATTTAACCATAGAATGTGGGAAAATTACATTTAACTACATACTGTTATCAGAATTAAAAACAATTTTAATTTAAATCAGCTCTAAAAATCGTGGGTTTATGAACACCCTATAAATGTCTGGTGGATTATATTAAATATGGATAGCGTGATTATGGTTTGGTAATTTATATTATTTTCAAGTATACACGTGTGCAAAAAACGTTACTATAGTTGTTGAACGCAAACATAATATCTGTATAAGCATGTATGCACAGATGTACTATACAAATATTAAAAACAACATTTTTAAAAAAAAATTCTAATTTTCATCAATCGGTTCCCCACTTATTACGTTGTTAAGATTTGAAATTTTGATTCATGAATATTTGGCATTTCAAAGCGTGTAGCTTATTACTTGTTATTAAATAATCGTTAAATAACCCCACCATCCGTCGATAATACCGATAACCAACTAATAATAATTCTCTTATACTTTTTTTTTTTTATAATATATGGAGAAGCGGTTCTTTACCTGCGGTCGGAAACCGTGACATCTTACACACGTTTAGTCAATTGTTCACACATCTAATCAGCAGACAAGAGACTCGACGAAATTCTTTTCTAACCTAACCATTTCATATTTTGATTATGATGTTAATGTATTATCATGCCAAAAAAAGTGCGTGCAACGTGACGTGCATTGTGTATTCAGAAACTGGGAAAATCTATTCTACCTGGGAAATTAATTTATGTAGTAATATATGATATCACTAGACAGTTATACCTACCGTTCTATTTGCAAATATTTTGAATAGCTCACCGTGTCTCAATTGATTTTTGTGCCCATAGCAATTTACTAGGAAATAAATTGCTATAAACGCAGGTAATTATAACCGATGCATTCTGTAACCGTAATATGTAATTTGTGTGACTGTAATTTATGTAATTTATGCACTGTGTGTGCGATTTGAGAAGTACAACTTTCGTATACGTTTCCGTTAAGTTATAAGTAGGTGGAAGTGTATAAAATAAAGTAGAATTTTGTTTGTCATCTTATGGAACAAATAGAACAGTTCAAAAAATATCAGATGAGCAATAGACCATTAATAATAATGAGCCAATAAGTTTAAACTAACAATAACGCGATTGAATGGTAGCACACTTTATATTTCTTCACTTTATTATTTTTTTTTTAAATTAAATTGTTTATATTATATGTGTCGTTGTGTACTAAATAGTAAATACAGATGCCGAAATACAATAAAATAATAATGATAATGTGATAATATTATCGATATAATATAATCATACTTCATAATGCAAAAAGGGGTTTAGGTAATGTACAGTCTACTGATAAGATATGTGAACGAATGACGGTTATACTAGGTGACCTTTGTTTCCAAGCAAGTAGATAAAGAATCGATTGCTCACATAATATATAAAAAAAAAGTGGAGCGAATGTTATTTATCTGATTATCGATGACAGTACTACCGATAGGGGTCAATTTTATTATTTAATAGCAGATAAAAGCGCTACTGTTTTTTTTAAACCAACAAAATATTGATTTTAAATTCAAAACTTTATAAAGTCATAGCAAACGAACAGATATTTGAAAATTAGAAATTCAAAAGCTAAATTTTTTTTAAAAAGAGTGTCCTACCCAAAATGAGTCATCCTGTATTATATTGTAATTAGGATATTCGACAGACACTGGTTGTTACTTGTTTACATTTCCACAGGTGTTGTAAACTATTCTGTGATGAAAAAATTAAACATTTGGTTAAATAAAAAAAATCTGCTTTAAATTACTTTTGTGTGGTATTGTAGTTTTAAATTGAAATTGTTCGTATTATAATATTTAGCCTTTACATTCCAATATATGTATATATAGTGTACTATAACAAATAGGCATGACGACCTATTATATCAAACAGATTTTTTTTATTTTCATATTTTTTATGTAAAACTAAAAACGAATTTCAATTTCATAAAACGATAATTTATATTTTTTTCAAGTATTTAAGTAGTAATTTCTCACAATTTATAATGTTAAATGTAACAACCTAAAATAACATTTGTAAAATACTGTCACAGTACATACAATTTTTTTTTATATTAGATTCGGTTCAGGTGATTTTGTATTATATTTGGTTTTTTTTAGTTTGTTCAAATTTGTATTGCACACTTTTTTATAAACCAAAAAAACACAACGTCAAATAGTACAGATTTTAACTCGAGTTATTTCCAATTTCTGCAAAACCAACTAAAATGGATAAAAAAAAAAGTATTTAAGACCTGTAGCGGTTAAAATTTAAAAAATTTGGTTGAATGGTTAAAAAAATTCCATGTCGACTATTACATATAATTATCAATTAGAATATGAGAGTATTTTTAAATTTATTGGGTTTTTCTATAAACCTGTAAGATATGTAAGAAGCTGTAAAATTAATTGAATACAAAAAAGTAAAGGTTTCGGGCTTTAGCATAAGAAACGTTTAACATATCATCTGACGAAATTTTTGTGGACCTTATTTCGTTAATTATAATCAACAAAATACATTGATTGTATTTTTTTAATTATAGCCTAGTTTTATTACGGTTATAATCAAAAGAATTGCGTTCATAATAATATAACACGGTTAAAAGGTTTAAAGTAAACATTTGTTTTACGTGTGATATTAAAACATTAAACTAACAAGAAAAAAGTCTGAACATGCGGCAAAGAAAAAAAATCAGCTTTGTAAATAAATTTACATTGTCAAACGTCAAAACATGTTTTGATTTTACTGTTTCTATCGACATAAAAGCCCATCAACAAGTCGCAAGAAAATCACATTGAAACAGTTTAACTGATACATTGATATTTTGCTTAAGTGCTTTAGTAGTGCAACAGTTTAACTGTACTACTTATTAGAAACCCGTTAACCACCATCTAATATTGTGAGTATTTTTTTTATACATTTTTTTAGGTATTTATTAATTTTGTTTTGGTATTTTTGTGTTCGCTTGCAATAGCTTTTTGACCGCTAAGTCAATTGTATTAAATCGCATGTCTATACCACGAGAATTATACACATCATCTACAGTTACTGTATTTTATTACGGATGAAAAAAGATTTAAGGACAAAAGTAAAAAAAAAAAATTGAGCTCTTCTAAATTTAAGCCAAGAAATACACCCTAAAATTCAATAAGAATTTTTTCATCCCAATAGAACGATACGCATAATATTGAAATATATTGAAATTATTTTGACTTTACTTTTGTAGAATACTATATTTTATATACTGATAGTTAGGGAAAAACAACTTTTTGCAAAATTATGCATTAAATACCTGATCTTAAAAATATACTAAAGGTAGATCTAGCCTAGTCTTTTTTTTATTATTTAATAATAAAATAACCATCTAAGTACGCTTTGATGCGACAACTTCGATATTATTAACAACTATCAAAGGAATATGAATCGTGTTTTAGACATGTTGTAGAATCTCCGCTCCGCATTAGGGATGATAAATAAAAGATGACTGAGTCCAATATAAATTTATTTAATGTTAACTAATATTTTTGCAGATAAAAATGAAACTTTTACAAATTTTAATATCGTTCGCTTTAGTAAATGTTTTGGTAGCTGAATTAGGTGATTATTTAATTATTAGACTACGCGAGGTAGTGGTAAGCTATAAAAAATAAAACTTAATAGTTACCTTTTTTTTTTTTTTACAGTGTATAAAGATGAGGTTTACCTAACAAGTCAGTAAACGTTTTTTTTTAAACAAAATAATATTTTAAGTCGTGCAATATGTGTGTATATAATTCATTTAAATTTCCAGACAAACACATCCAGTTGGCAGTTAGCAGCGATCAATATGAAATGTACCGTTCAGGTAAAATATATTTTATATAAATACTAAAACATAATGTTTTTGCTATGTTTATCTGATTATCGAATGACTTTTATAATAAATATTCTTGTAGTTTCTATAGCCTGTCCAGATTAAAAGTTAATAAGGAGTAAAGAACCAGAGTTTTAAAATCAGTGTAGACACTTAATTTATGTTAACCAAATAATTTCTATTTATAATAAAAAAACAGTTAATATTAATTAATTCTAATATTGTAGGTTGTGAATTTTTAACCTAAAAATATGAATAGTGTTAAATTAAATGGTAATCGCTTGAAGCATGTAAGAATTTTCTTCTGAAGGTCGTTCTTTTATTTCGGAGATTTATAAATTGACATATTATAAAGAATGTGATAAATGCTATAGGTAAAGTAAAACGAAATTTGGGTATTAAATTAAAAAAACATATTATAAGATACTTAAATAATAAATAAATGCCCAATTATCCTGTTGTGTAATATTTATTAAAAACTAATCGTAGAATACAATCGGTAAAGTTCGTTAAAAGAAATTAAAGTAACAGAGGAAATAGGAATGTGGGAAAATAAAAAAAATGATAAGCTAGGTCTTAATCCCAGGTTTTTTTTTCAATTTCTTTTATTATTTTTTTGTTTATTAACTTTCTATAACCAGAAATATATTTTTTTTATAGCTTAACCTATTATTTGTTTCTCCTAGGTCATTTGATGACAGTTGTTAAAAACATTGTTCTTGGAGAATACACGATGGGTAATCATAATTTTATAGTAAAAAAAATAATAATAATGATAATGTATGCTAGTAGTTGAAAATATACCATAATTGAATATATTATTTTAAAATCTTAAATCTAATTCTAAACTGTATATGGAATCTTTCCGACAAGCAACGCTAACGTTACCTTATATTATAATCATAATATTTTATTCAATGGAGCATATTTTCTTTAGTTTAGCCATTCTACTAGCATAGTTTCCATTCAATTTATCATATCAAACATTTTTTTCCAAACTCTTAAAGCACATATGTCTTCTACTTGACTTTTGACATTATGTATAATAATGTATATTATTATTCTAATATATTAGAATAAATAGTTCAATTTACACTCATTAATTAATACATTTATTTTATGTTAATTTCAGTGGAAATGGCTTTAATGTTGGTAGTACCGGGTAATCAATTTCTTAATATTTTATGGAAATATTTCCACATAGATTTGATATTCATTAAGTATACAATGTATTTATTTTAATTTAAGAAACACAAGAAGTCTTAGTTATAAATCATGGTAAATACTTATTAGTTAATTATTCATATATTATATTAAGAGTATATTTTATTGACTTACATTTTGATTTCTGTCATAATGAATGATCTACATTTAAAGTTAGTACGAAAATATTTCAACATAGTTGATATTGATTAAGCATAAAATGTTTTCATTTTATTTCCAGAAATACAAGAACACGCTTCAACTTCTTTTGTGGCTCCCGTGGAGAACGGTAAATTTCTAGCACCTTGTTAATTATCCATACACAGTGTATTCAAAGTTAAAGGTAAAAGAATACTTTTTAGAAGTTTTAATTTAGTTTTTTTCTTAAAATCAAGGACATAGCACAATGCATAATGCACAGAATATTGTGTGCATTTTATATAGAATTACAAAGACCTACATTATTTTGGCACATGTGATGTAAATTTTAAAGAGAAACCCCCCCTTTATAACACTGGATGTGATAAGGCCATTTATTTTTGAACAACTTTTATTGAAGAAGATTTTTTCTTATGAAATCAAAATTGACTGAGATAAATAGTTTAAATGTAGCATTATTTTTATGAGCACGTTATATAACCATATTTCACTTCCCGTTCTATGTATAAAACCCAAATAACATTAAAAATATATTATCGACTATACAAATATTTCAGCAAATTATGATTAATTAAACAAATAAATTACGTGTACATTACCATTTAAGTTGCAATAGTTACGACTACCCTAAGTCTAGCTTTTAATTGAAAAACCTTAAATCTTTGATAAAAATTTAAAAAATGTACAAATAATTTTTAATAAATTTTTTTTGTATAACGTCATAACAGTCAGCTCATACTTGAAATTCTAAACATCTTGTATATTGGGAATTTTCATAGACATGCTTATGGATTTCTATCATAATATGTTATATATATATTCAAATGTATTATGGGAATATTTCCACGTAGTTACTTAATATTTATTTGATATAAAATGATTTTATTTTAATTACAGAAACACAAAAAATATGTCTATTGCTTGACTTGTGCATCATTATTTATTTTTGAACAAAAAACAAAATCTAATGACGTTAATAATACATTAATAATAATTTACTTAATATTATTTTTAGAAACAAACGAAGCCTTGGTCATAAAGCATGGTAAATATTTAGTAGTAAATTATTCATATAAATTTGAATAGTCATACACATACATATTGATTTCAACCTCAATGAATGATTTACATTCAAATTTTTTTTTTCTAATTTTAGAAAAGTTATGGTACCAGCAAAGAGTGCGGTATGAAATAAATGCTGTAACTGGTAAATACAAAATTGAACTCTTTTATACGAACAATTTTTAAATTGTACTACATTATTTGACATTTTTTCGTATTGATTAATTTATTTAAATATTTTCAATATTAGGATAGGACTGTTATAGAAAAAGAACAAAAAAATGATTATTTAACCGTATAATGTTTTGACAAATTATATTTTGGTTATAGGTATGAGAAGAGCATTCGTAGACAAAGGTAATCACAATCGTACATTAATTTTTCAGAGGTATGGCTTGGTAAATTACTAAAGTTCCTTATTTGTTATTAAGTTGATAACTATTATTATTAGATTAGATCGCTGTACTATGGAATATTTGGGAAGTGAAAGGAGATATTTTACTGTTGCTGCTGTAAAACAATTAATCCATGCAATCGTAATAGGTATATATTCATTTAGAATTTTTTATGAATGTATCCATTTTCATAAAAGAATTGTACTAATTTTATTGATTTATAAAAAAAAGATATTAATAATCATAATACAAAAAAAGGAGATATTTACAGACATTCATTCATATAACAAACACATACAATTTTTTGAATAATAGAAGTACCTATAAAGCCCTCACAACATAAGTATTTGACAAGACTCATTTTCCTAACATGCATTTAGTAATTATATTATGATTGATTACATTGTCTTTTCAATTAAGTTTGTGTTCATTGATGGTTGGAATGTTTATGCCAGTTCGTTTTAACCAATTTTATTTTTTATCAATTATCTAATATGTCATTACCATAGTAGAAGTTTTTACATTTATAACATTTGGTCATCACTTATAATAGACGATTCATAATCCAATACAAACTACATTGCAAAATTATATGACAAATTAATATGTTTTTTAGTAAAAAAGCTTCTAGATGAAAGTTTCTACTAAAGTAATTTTTTTAAAAAATCTCAGATTTATGTTTTTGCGTAATGTGTGTTGGTGTTCTCTAATTTTTTTATTTTTTTATTTTTTTAGCCAAAAACCCCGATTTGAGAATGGCTTTCTCAGATTTTTCCCAGATATGTCGTTTATTGGGATTGTACAGAAGTTTCAAAAACGTATTTAAAGAATTACCATTTATAAAATCTGCTAAAGTTCATAACGGAACTTGTGTTCTTAAAACTCTAGACAATAGTGAAACCCAATATAGATATATTAATGAAGACATTTGGGAACTTAAAGCTAATGGTACTAAATTTCAACGACTTCATTATCAAGTAGAATTATTCAACTTTCTTTAATTACTATTATCATTATAAACAAATCATACACGCATGCCTTATAATAAACATTTTTTCAATTTATTTGATATAATAAAAAATTCACTGATGTATTGAATCTGTATGCTGGAACGATGGCCCTTGCCTGTCATATTATTAGTAATAATAATATTGTTCATGGCTGGTGGTTATCGTTACTTCCAAGCCAAACCTATGAGGTCTAATATGTCGGACAGCACCCTGGTGTCACTCCGCCTGTTCTAACTCCGGATTTCCACGGACCAGGTAACAGGTGTTAAACTTTTATATACATATATTTTATACATATTGTTTTTTTAGTTATTTTAATATTTTAATCGATAACTTAATTCTTAACCGGCATCAAGCCGGTTTTTAAATATATAATATTGTACGTTGCTATTTGAGAGTTTAGTTTATTTACTTAAAGGTACTTTTGCTCTTTTGGGTGGTTATATAAAATTCACAAAGAGTCTCTAGGAATATTTTAAAGCAGATACAGGGCAGCTTTCTGTTCCGGCTAGGGTCCCTTAATTTAGCCTTAGAAGGCGGACAGTAGTAATAAACTAACATTCTAGCAACACACCTTGCTAGAATGTTAGTCTATTAGGAAAAAGTACCAGGTTTCTATGCGTTAAATGTGTAAATATATTATTTATTAAGAAAGGGATCAATGGCTGTTGCGGCCAAATAAGTTTTTAGTAGTTTTGTGTAAGTAGATTATTATTTTTGTTTTAGCAAAATCAACGACTTTTGTTTAGCCTTTAAAGTGTTAAACCACCTGTAATATAATATGAATATAGACTTTATTCATCATAAATATCTTATAAACTTTTTGTATAGAATAATATATTTGCACTCTATATAAATTTGAATATCACAACGGTTTGAAATAAATCTTACCCAAATGCACTTAAATAAGCCACGAAATTCCTTTACTCATGAATCCTCATCGATCTTAAATTCAAATCTTTAAAAAGTCATAGTAAACGAACAGCTTGATGAAAATTAAAATTGTAAACGCTTAAACTTTTCAAACTTTTTTGACTACATACTCCTATAATTGTAAAACATTTTTCCTTAAATAAAAAAGAATAATATTTAGTTAGTGTATATTATTTTGTTGAGACAAAAGTAAAATTGTGTACCTCTTTTAAATTTAAAACCAGTAAGCATGGGCGAAGGAAGGCAAACTACTGTATAAAGTATATGAGTGAGTAAATCAACATAAACTGATATTTGAAACCATTTTCAATATATTGTTAATAATTAGGATATTATATTGTTAACAATGGCAATTAATTATTGTAGATAGAAGACTAACCCTTGTCGTATCCACCCTAATACTAAGTATTAATTGCTTAGCACATTATGTCATTACAATGCTTTAATCGACATTTGTGCTTTTACCATTACTGATTCATATCGAAGCGTTAATTTGAAAACGATTTTATCACTTTCAGTTATAATGATTCTCCCACTCCAATATACTTCAGCACCACTATGCCTCGACTAAACTGTACTGGCTTTTATTTGTATAAAAATATAGGTGAACTTAGAGTGCAGTATGTGGTGTGTTTAATCAACAGATCTCTATTTTTATGTCGATATTTACATCTATCCTAATGTCGATGACGAAATCATAACACGAATTATCCACACAAATTTTGCATAACCCCCACTTAAATAATATATCTATGTGTTAAAACTAAAAATGTTAAATATTACTGCTTAAAAACCCAAAATACGATACAGATTTTTGAATTTATTCAGTTTGTTTTTTTAAAAAGTTGAGTTTTAAAAATATTGTGGAACCGGAAAAATGTATGTACTGAACATTTTAGCTAGATGTTTAAAATAATATAAGAATTAATAGAGATTTTCCGCTTATACATAAATTGTATTATTGTAAAATACCAAGAAATATATGAAAAGAAACAGAGATTTAAAAAAATATATTTATGATATAAATATAACTCTAGATATCTCTATTAAATTGTTTTTGACTCTAAGACCAAATTAAGTCTAATAAAAAAATTTGGATTTTCTTCATAGAGCTTGACTTAGCGTTTTGTAAATATTGTGGACCCAGACACATAAGTAATGTGTAATAAATAAACATTGTTTTAGCATCTCAGCTCCAAATAGGAGCTGATAACTAAGTCTAATATAAAGAGATTTAATGTTTATTTAATAATGAAACTTTTAAGTATTTTACTATCGTTTGTCTTGGTAAATGTTTTAATAGCTGAATTAGGTGATTATTTCGGGATTATACGTACCTATTATATTCCAAAACAAATTAATAGTATTGGCCGATATTGTAGTTGATATTTGTCGTATAACAACTATAAACAACAATTGTATGAAACATATGGCGAAATTTGGGAATTAAACCACGACAGTACTAAATTTCAGCCACTTGCTGTTCAGGTACTATAGTTCAGATTAGAAATGTATAAGAATAACCTAATTTGTAGTTTGGTTATTATTATTAATTTTGTATAAATAATTTTCGAATTTCTCTAATATCAATAATGTCATATACAATGATTGTATTTAAAAATAAAGAGTCTTACTCACGGTTATGAAAACATATTTTGTTACATTTGTTATGGATTTATACTGTTATATCTGTTATTATATTCTTAGTTGTACAAAACATAATAAACACTAAGTTGTAGCTGGAGATTTAGAAAATGCTTTTAAGACGATAAAATTATTTCCATTTTACGTTCTCTCATTCGACTTACAATTTTTTCATTGAAATATTTTATCAGGCTGCTTTTTATTTTAAAAGAAAACTAGTGGTTTAAAGTTTAAACAAGCTAAGCCATATTATATTATATTTGGTGACGGTTGTGTTGTGTTGTAACTACTGTTGAACCATTTTAAACTTTCTTAGCCGAATCAATACAAGAAATGTGATCTCGTTTTGCGGCATTTGTAATAAATAAAATAAAATGTATACCAATTTGTATATAAAAATGATATATTATAATATTTTAATATAATACATCATTATTTTTAATTAGAATCATTAAAAAACAAATAGTCGGAAGTTTTATTAAAAAGGCTTTGTAGGTACTCGTTGGTTACAATTTATGAGGTTAAATAAAGATATTGATACAAATTATGGATCTTTATAAATTTTTTATACTGAAAAAAAATTAGGTATCTATATAATTATAAAAAAAATCTTTAAAATATTCAATTGAACAAATGTTTTCTCATTTGTCGAATCGTTGTGGGACACCCAATATATATCCGTACCCCAGAGCAGTAGTGTTTATGTCACAAAATGTCGGAGAATATTAGGGATGAGGAATGTCACAGGAATAGAGGAACTATTTGAGCTTAATGTACTAAAAGAACTTAAAAAAAAAACGCTACGTCACGAATCTGTGAATAGTAAGAATCCAGCATAGTTAAAACCAAGTTCAGTCTGAATTAGTTTAGTAAAACCAAGCACATTATATAAACCCGTACAGTAAACAATTACCGAAGTACAGTACAGTGTTCACATATTCCAACTAGTCCACAGATTCGCATCTAAACGAATAATATAAAGGTATTAATACAAATTTTCTAGAAATTTGCACGTAATCGTTTAATTGAAAGTTATTTTATTACTTTAAGTTATAATAATTCCTATCTACGTTTGACCCTAGATGTTTTTCCTAATAAAAAAAACATTCTAGCTCGGTGTATTTTGGCAAATTCGGCTTTGTTTTATTATTAATAAAAAAATCAAAAGTTTTCAATACGTATATCCGTTCAGGCAGTATGCGTCTCATATAATTATCATTCGCTACAACTGCTAAGTAGTGAATAGTACACTTAACAAATGTGTCCGCAAAACTAACACTGTTCTAAAATTTTTCATTTAGGTCACAAATATTTATTTATAATACAATGTAATTCTTGTGCGGTTTGTTTGGACAAGTTTGGTTTTATTCAAAAGATGTGTAATGTAATAAAACGAAATTTGATTTTCGAAAGATTAAACGTGCACGTGTTCATTTTCAGTAGCTGTGGACGGAGTGCAGTATAAAGTGGCGGTGGGAATGTACACTTGTGTCATATGTTTGCACAATTTACACTTGTCGATTGAGCGAATTCTTTTACACATTTTTAATGTATAACTTCGTCATTAAAAGTTGGTTTTGAGCACCTTTAAGTAAGAATAAAATAGTCTACACTTGCGTCTCAGTAAATAAAGTAAATATGAAATTATATTGAAAAAAAAAAACAGCTAAGTACATAAATTAACATAAGCATCTAGCAACCATATTAAGATTTTATTGTTTTCATCGACATATAAGTGCATCGGAAAGTTGCAAGAAAATCACTTTAAAACAGTTCAAAAACTGATCAATTGTTTTTTTACTTAGAAGTTTTATAATTTTAATATTTTAAGTGTTTTACTTATTATATACTTATTAAACATCTTCTAAGATCGTAAGTACATTTTTAGTTTTTAATTTTATTTTTACGCTCACTACAAAATTTTAACCACCAAGTCAATTTCATTACTTCGCAGTCATAACTAATTTTTTTTTGAAGATCAATAGTAATTTATTTTAGCTTCGATGTGGGACTGAGACGGTATTGCTTTTACAATGATCTGTTTTAATATTTTACTTTTGTGTCCTAATCCACACACAAGTATTGAATAACCTTACTTCCTTCCCCTTCTTAACTGAGAAAAACACCCACAAAACTTACATATTTTACAAGTAAAAAATTACACTCTATACATTTTTTACCTACTTTAGACCTATAAGTATTGATCAACGTTGACTATCCCAAACTAGTTCATACACCCATTCCCCTACGAAGGTGGTTTTTTTTTCTTATTTTGTTTAAGTTTTAAATTCTTAGGTCTAAAATTTAGACCTAAAAGTAGATAATAATATAGACAGTTTTCTCAAAAATATGTAGTTTTTTTTTTAAATTTGTATTCTAGAGGTTTTAGCTAGATCTTTCAAATAATAAAAGAATTAATAGAGATTTTCCTCTCGTAAATACATTTTATTATTAAGAAATAGAAATTTTTAAAAAAATATTTATGTTTTAAAATATATCTCTATATATATTTATTGAATTGTTTTTGAAACTAACACTAGAACAAGATTAATGAAATACAGCTTAAAAAGCAAATATACAATACAAAATTTGAATTTATTCAGTTTTTTTTAAAAAAGTTGAGTTTTAAAAAGTGATTTAAAATTTTGAAATGAAAACATTTTTAGAACTTTTCCTTTCTTCATAGAGCTTGACTTAGCATTTTGAAAATATTGTGGAACCAGACACATAAGTAATGTGTAATAAAGAAACATTGCTGTAGCATCTCAGCTTAACATACTAGCTGATAACTAAATGATGACTCACTCTAATAGATAATGATCTAATGTTTGTTTAAAATTTTTTTCAGATAATAATGAAACCTTTAAGTATTTTGATATCAATTGTTTTGGTAAATGTTTTAGTAGCTGAATTAGGTGATTATTTAATTTTTACACGTAACTAAATGTGGTATTGGAATCTAAAAAACTCAAAATTTAACTTTTTTTTACAGATAATTATGTAAAGGAGGTAATCATGACAAGTCAGTAAACATTTTTTTACATACATAGTGTTAATTGTTATATCTAACTTAATAAATGTAATGTTTTACAGATCAACAAATGACGCTTGCAAAAGGTAAAATATATTTAAATAACCTAATAAAAAATGTTTGATATTATTAATATGTTCAAATTTTAAAAAGATTATAAAATGTTTATTTTATTAATATGTTCAAATTCAAAATGGATATGTATGAATACTTATAGACCAACCACCTACTTTTATTATTGAATTAGGTTATTTATCAAAATAATTTTTCAACATAGATCTATTTAATATCATATTATTCAACGCTGCTTTGAAATAAATAAATGCAATAGAAACAAAGCTTTTATGGTTTTTTTTTAATTTTTAAGAAAAATAAATGCTCAAGTTAAGTTACAGCTACTTCTACTAGTTAGGGGAGAATGAAGAGAAAATTATATGATCGCGCAAAGTTTATTTTCCAGTCATCTCCAGGTGTTTAACAAAAATACAGCAATATTTTTTTTGGTAACTCTAATAATGTTGTTAAATAACTCTATTGTTGTTAAATATATATTTTATACTAGTTTAATAATATAATCAGTAAAACTTCATGACCAATAAAATAATTTTAAGAAATGTTATAAAACAAAAAATATATTTTGTTAAACTGGGACTATTTCATAGGGTTTTTAAAACAAATACTTTATTATTATTTTTCTTAACTGTATACAACATCAAGTATTATTTAATGTTATTTTTAACTATGTTCTATCTTCTTTTAGCTAAACCTATTATTTGTTTATTCTAGCTAAATTGCCAAGAGTAATTAAAAACATTGTTCTTGCAGATTATACGATGGGTAATCAAAATTATATAGTAAATAAAAAAAAAAAATAATAATGATATGGCATGCTAGTAATGAAAATGTTTTAAATTAAATAAATGACATACAATTATTGCAATGCCTATATACAAATATTAAATTAACCTCTAAAATCGGAATTCTTTTATTCTCAGCTAATTTTTTTTTTCAACATATCTGCTTCCATTCAGTTATTTTCTTACTCAGTCTTCGCTCAATTTATTTTAATATCTGAATTCATAAAATTTTGTTTTAGAATGTTAATATTTATTATTAAACATTAAATCTTATGTCATTAAATGACACATTTATTTTATTTCAGTGGAAATTGCTTTAATGCTGGCAGTACCAGGTAATCGTGTTCTTAACGTTCAACAAGTTTTTATTATATTGAATAAATTTCTTAAACTTAATAATTATGAAATGTTTTTATTTCAATTTCAGAAACCGAAACAAACTTACTTTCCTTACCGTTAGGTAAATATTTAGTAGTCAACCGTTCTTATATATATATATATATATATATGTAAGATTACTCTATTATTGTGAATTTTCGTGGAAAAAAGAAACCAATGTGTTGCTCTGTAACAGGAGATTATAATTTTATTTTCTGAGTTTAACGTCATATTTACAATATGTACAAGCTTACCTGTAACAGGAGAAACGACAAATTAAGTTTCTTTGTTACACCTCTAATTACACTTAATATGTTAAACAATATTTTACACTTTTTATCTAAACAATGTATATCAATTGATTCCATATGATTAAGCAAAATACAATATACACCGGTGCTTATCATTTCTTCTGATCAGTATTACCAACCTACGTAGCTCATACCACTGTACAATAAAGAAAGTATTTTGCTCTTTATACACATATATATATTGACAATAACCATAAACTGACATATCGGTTACTTATCATAATAAATTATGTACATTAAAATATATTTAATTTTTAATTTTAGACAAGATAAGATATCAGCAAACTATTCAAACACATATATGGTTTTTAACAGGTAGATATAAATTGACTTTTATACGAAAAATAATTAATTTAATAATTGTATAAATTTCGAATATAAAAACGATAAATATTTGAATATATTTCAGTCATAAGCCCTTATGTTTTTTGCTTGAGCTTTTGTTGACCATTCCAAACTTAGATAAAACCGTTTATGAATACGTTGCTACTACAAGTTTTGACATTATTTAACATTGATTTTTTTGCCTAAGTATTGTCGACTATAAATGAGCGTTATAAATGAAAAAATTAAAACAAATTGTTTTAATCTTATAATTACTTGGTGTTTTATATTTTGATTACAGGATTCAATACACCTGGGATAAATGAAGGTAGTAATTGGCATGAATTATTCTTCATTTATCGGGGGGGGGGGGGGGTATGGATTGTTGGTCGTTAGCTGTTAGTCTATATTTCCTATAGGATAATGTGAAGTACATTACGAATTGCAAAATTTTTTGTAGCATACTGTTTGAGAGGGTGGAAATGGTTTTGCATGTAGTTGCTCCTAAAAATGTAGTTAGCAGGACTGTTCCATTATACCGTGTCGTTAGCTGCTTTCAATGCTTTTTCGATTTTTTCCCATTTTCGTATTTCCTTCTAGAAACGTACTCGGGGAAAAAATTCGGACGTAGTAGCTGCACTTTAGTATGAAACCTACTTGCTGATTTTGGATTCAAACATTACTTATGGGCAATTCGTAAGTTTGCAGCACATTCTGAGAAGGGTAATTAGTCTATACCAACTGGAGGGTTATTTTCAGATTTTCATAGTGTTTTGGTTATTTTGAATAGACGAGGAAGTTTTCCTGTTACCAGAACTTTGATAAGAATATTTAGTAACAAACTAAAAATAAAAATAGTATAAATAAATTAACTTATACAAATTAGTTCCAGGGAGAAGGTTAATAATACTTTTTAAATTGGTCAACATTCTTTGATTATAAAATAATCCAAATATATTCACAATATTGTTTGAAAAAATTCTAGACGTAGTGTCTGCTTGGGCAATGTTTAAAAAGTAACATAGTTACATGTTATTTGGATAAAGAAGTTGATTTTTTATGTATTTTTTTACGGAGTGGTTAAAGTTTTATTTTTTGTCCGTTAAAGTAACTTTAGGTTTTAGCAGCAGGTTTTTAAGCAAATTATTTAATTGTTTAACAAACAACTAACTTTTTTTGTTATTTATTATAAAGTCAATTTGAGTAATACTAATCTGTCAGTTTTGGGAAACGAAAGAAGGCGCTTAACTAGTGCAGCTACAAAAGGTTTAATCCGTGAAGAAATAGGTAATTATTAATATAAAATGTTTATATCATTTTATATATAATTGTTTGTTTTCCAATATAAAGAAATAACATTATTTTAAAATGTGTATTATTTTAAAAATAATTTCATTCGATTTTATTTAATAAAAATCGAATTAAAAATTAATATTTTTTGTATGCAATTTTTTTTTTATTTCACATTTTATCATAAAGTTATCTATGAAACGAACTACGGTTTAGCTCTGTACAATACGGACTTTCTTTGGTACGAACTAAATTTGGTAAATTTTTTTTTAAGGTGGATTCACCAATGATTTCTCAAGGTTTTCCGATATGTGTCGTTTAATTGGAGTGTTCATTAATACAATATTTCCGAATATATTAATAGCATTGGCTGTTATTGTTGGTGATATTTGTTGCATAACAACTACAAACAACAGATATATGAAATACAAGTATATTAATGACGAAATTTGGGAATTAAACACTGACAATACTAAATTTCAGCCACTTGCTTTTCAAGTACTATAGTTTGGACTAGGAATTATAAGGATAATTTAATTTGTAGTTTGATTATTATTAATTAATTGTATAAAAATAATTTTTGCATATCTCCTAATACCAATAATGTCATATAAAATGAATGTATTTAAAAATAAAGTGTTTTAATCCCGATTATAAAAACATTTGTTGCTTATGTATTGTACTTATATTGTCATGTCTGCTCTTAATTATACAAAACATAATAAACACTAAGTTGAAGATAGAGATATAGAAAATACTTTTAGAACAATAAAATTACTAGCATTTCACATTCATCGTCTTACAATTTTATCATTGAATTTTTTTGTCAGGCTTATTTATATTTAAAAATAAAATTAGCGATTCAAACAGGCTAAGGCTAATTGTTTCGTGGCGGCTGTGTTGTTTTGTATCTCTGTTGAACCATTTCAAACTTTTTTAGCCGAATCAGCAGAATAAAATATGTGATCCCATTTTGCAGCATTTGAAATAAATAGTATACAATTTATACAAATTTATATATAAATATCTTATAATATAATATAATATATCATATTATGTAGTTAAAATCATAAAAAAAAAAAATTTGTCAGTTGTTTCTTAAAAAGGCTTTGTAGATACTCATTGATAATAATTTAGAGATAAAATTAGGGTATTGATACAAATTATGAATGTTTATAAATACTTTTTGTTTTAGTGAAAAAAATTAGGTATAAATTAAATTTTAAAAAAAATCTTAAAAATATTTACTAGAACAAATGTTATTTAATTTGTCAAATCTTTGTGGAATAACCTATCTAACTATATCCAACCCCAGAGCACAGGTGTTTATATTATAAAATTTTAAATGTATTTATTAATGATTATAAATTCTTAATTAAATGGATGAACTTAGGTGGATTCATCTAAGAGTCCCAACGACCAAAAAACCAACAATTTTGACTTTAAACACATTTGCTCTGAGGTACGTATTTATCTTATAAATCGACTATCACATGAGTGTATTTTTATTCGTTAGTAGAAAATATATCAAACTTACTTAAAGACTATTATTCAAAAACGAGTTTTTTTGATTGGGTGATAAACCATGTGAAAAAATGTTTATCCAGTTGCAAACACGTATTTAACTAACACGTAAATTTAAACTATTAATATTATGTTTTGAACTGTGTGTCAAGAAGTCACTTTTGGCAATAGCGAGGAGAATACTATGGGTGAGTAATGTCACAGGAATATAGGAATTATTTGAGCTGAATGTAATAAAATAACATTAAAAAAAAAGGATTCACTACGAATCTATGGATAGTAAGAATCCAGCAAAGTGGAAACCGAGTGCAGTCAGTTTAGACAACCCAAGAACATTATATAAACCCGTACAACAAAAAAGTACTAAAGTTCGGTCCAGTGTCTACAGATTCAAATCAAATTGTTTATTTGAAAGTTATAGTTTTAGTATAATAATCCTTATCTGCGACGACCAACGTCTCCACTATGTCCTGACACCACAGTACATATTTTACGCATGGCACCCTAGAACTTTTTTCTAATAAAATAACATTATAGCGCGGTGCGTTTGGGCAAATTCGGCTTTGTTATATTATTATATTATTCAACGAAATTTCGTTTGTCTGGTGGTATGCGTCACTTGTAGTTATTATTCGCAACAGCTGCTAAGTAGTGTATAGTACACATTACAAAGAACTCAGGTACTTTAGAAGTGCGATGACGGAGTGCGCTTTTAACAATGGCTCAACAAATTTGAATACATTTATATTAGCGTCACGGTTCCGCAAAGCTAACACAATTCTAAAATTTTGCATTTAGGTCACAAATACTTTTTTTGTAGTAAATTGAAATTTTAGTTCGATGCGTTTGGGCAAGTTTGGCTTTGTTCTAAAATAGTAATTAAGATTTTAAGACGTTCATTGTAATGGAACGAAATTTGGTTTTAGAAAGGTTAAACAGTTCTAGCGGTGTACGCATCATATAACTGTCGGCCGCTCTAGTCGCTGGGCAATTTAGAGCATACTTTACGTATGGGTCCTTGGTACTATAGCTGGTGTTGGTGGTAGTGGAGCTAATTTTTAATTATCATTGGTATTACACGCAATGGCTATGGGCGCCGTCTTGTAAAGGTGACGACAGAACGAATCGACGAATATGGTGGTGGCGGAAATGTACACGTGTGTCTTATGTTTGCACAATTTACACTTGCAGATTGAGTGAATGCTTTTACACATATTCAATTTATAATTTAAAGGTTTTGGGCACCTTTAAGGGAGAATAAAATAGTCTACACTTGCGTATGAGTAAAGTAAATATGAAATTATATTGAAAAAAAATACAGCTAAGTACATAAATTAACATGAGCATCTAGCAACCATAACACGATTTTATTGTTTTTTATCGACATAAAAGCCCATCGAAAAGTTGAAAGAAAATCACTTTAAAACAGTTCACCAAACTGATCAATAGATATTTTACTAATAAGTTCTCTTATTTCGATAGTTTAAGTGTTTACTTATTATATACCTATTAGATATCTCTAAGGTCGTAAATACATTTTTTTTTGTACTCTTGCTATACAATTTTAACCACCAAGTCAATTTCATTAAATCGCAAGTCAATGCTAATGTTTTCTCGGAGATCTATAGTAACTTATTTTAATTTCAAAGAGGAACTGTATTGCTCTTATAATCTGTTTTAATTTATTAATTTTGTGCCCGAATCCACACTCAAGTATTGAATAACCTTACTTCCTTCCCCTCTTAACTGGGACATAAGTAAAAAATAAATATTTAGGTACAAATCATTTAGTGAAGTAGTAAAAATAAGAACACAAATAAAACTATACAATTACTTTACATGTATCACATGAGAAATACATGCTCAAAATAGTACGTTAAGCGCATCGAATGTTTTTGTTTAAATTTCCTTAAAAAATGTATGTACTGAACATTTTAGCAAGGTGTTTAAAATGATGTAAGAATTATTAGAGATTTTCCACTTTTAAATAAATTGTATTATTGTAAAATATCAACAAATATATAAAAAGGAACAGAAATTAAAAAAAAAATATGTATACTATAAATATAACTCTAGGTATCTCTATCAAATTGTTTTTGAATCTAAGACCAAAGAAGTCTAATGAATACGGCTTAAAAAACATAAATACTATAAAAATTTTGGATTTATTCCGTGTTTTTTAAAAAAAATTGTGATTTTGAAATTTAAACATATTTTGACATTTTCTTTCTTTCATAGAGCTTGACTTAGCGTTTAGAAAATATTGAGGAATGTTTATTTCATATTTTTTCAGATAGTAATGAATCTTTTGCGTATTTTACTATCGTTTGTCTTGGTAAATGTTTTGGTAGCTAAATTAGGTGATTATTTCGGGTTTATACGTGCCTACATGAGGTAATAGAAATATAAAAAATAAACTCATTATTTAACTAAATTTTACAGATGAATATGTTAAGCAGGTAATCATAACAAGTCAGTAAACATTTTTTTACATACAAAGTAATTTTTAAGTCTTGCTTAATGTACAAACTGTTTTACAAACCTACATATCACACTTGCAAGAGGTAAAATATATTTAATATTTAAATAACAAAATCAAATATTTTTGATACTAATATGTTTGTCGGATGATCAAATTGTTTTTGAATCAAAAATGGATGAGATGAACAATAACAGTTGAAAATCTAGCGCAGAAATCCACAAAAAATAATACACATTATATTATACGCGTATTTCAAAAGAATTACTGTCATAACAAACATACTAACGGACCAACAACCTACTTTTATTATTCATTTAGATTATTTATCAAAATATATTTTCAACATAGGAATATTAAATAATCATATTATTGATAGTTGCTATTGAAATAAAATATTTAATAAATATGATGCAGATATGGTTTGAAGTTTATTTAAGAAACTTAAATGATCCAGTCAAGTTAAGACGGCTACTGGGTACTTAGTTTGGAGGGAATGAAGAAAATATAATATGATTGGTCATAGTTTATTTTTCAGTCATCTCCAGGTGTTTAACAAAAATACAGCAATATTTTTTTAAGTTACTCCAATAGTTCTACAGTTTTAAAGACAATCGTTACAGCATCAAAATGTAATTTTATGAAATCTTTATTAGGTAGCACCAAAAATGAAATTGGTACAAGGAATCATCGGATATTTATAGATTTCAATGTAAAGAATGTGATAAATTCCATGTAGGTCAGACAAAAAGAAAACCTAGGGTTACATTTAAAGAATATATAAGATAAACAAAATAATAAAGAAGTGCATATTCCTCCTGTTGTAAAACCTATATTGTATACTAATCTAATAACAAAATCGATAAAATTTCTTTATCATTATAAAAAAGTCGAAGAAACTTAAAAAAATGGTAAACATAAAAATTGGAACCTAATCATATGGTTTTTTAAAAAAATTTAATAATTTTATTCCTAACCTGTGTACAACATTAAGTATTGCTTAATTGTATTCTTAAATATGTTCTTCTATATCTTTTGTTAAAGCTTAACCTATTATTTGTTTATTTTAGTTAAATTGCCGATAGTAATTAAAAACATTGTTCTTAGAGAATATACGATGGGTAATGCTAGTAATGAAAATGTTTTAAATTAAATGAATTGCACAGGGTAAAAACGGTAGTAGTCTCATTATAATTTTTTTTTTTTCAAATAGTTTTTTCAATATATGCCATTAATTTTAGCTTCGATGCAAAGCGAGAAGGTATTGGTTTTACTCTGATGTGTGTTTTTTTTTTATCTGTATACACTGTAACTTCTTTAATACTGGACCAATTCTTTCGAACAGCAACTCTTTAAATCGCAATTTTCATCTAGTTGGTACTTTGGGGGGGGTAAAAGTTGAAAAAGTTTAATTCTTCACAGACGAAAGTTGAAAAAACCAAAAAAAAAACCGTACGAGTTTTTAAGTTAGAACTTTTACTGGCTATAATTTCGAGAAAAAGAGTCGGATCGAATTGAAATGTATAAGAAATAATTATTTGGTATGCCCGCACACGTCAGTTGTGTCAAACTTAAACTATACCCATTTCCCACCCCCCTAGGGGGGGTACAATTTTTTTTGTTTTTCCGGGT